AGGGCTTTGACAGAGACCTGAGGTTGCAGGCTGGGGGCAGGTCTGACATCCTGCACTACTGAGTAATGGCACAGAGGCACTTGAGGGCTTTCTAGGAGCTCACTACTGGTACTTCAAAAATGTACATCCAGAGAAAATACTTCTGTGGACCTAGCTTAGCTCTCTGTATGTGAAAGCAGAATGGAAACTGCTGCACAAAAATAAGGTCATACAGGATAGCTAGGAAGTGTCACTTCTGAAATGCTAATATGCATATAATCAGTTAAACTTTTAACATTTATCTGTTTAAACGTTCATATTATGCACACATAGTGTGCAGTTATAGTTAATAGTTTCCAGCTCAGGTATCCCGCTATTTTATAACAACAGAATTTGATTAGGCTGATTACTCTTATACTTTGTCTAATAGTGTAATTTCATTATAAAACCTAATCTGGCAGACTTTTTAACTTCATATGGCTCCATTGGTTTTTTAGTATGCGTGTATTTTCAGTCCTCTTTGTGAATGGTCTGTTAATCATTTTTATTCAGCAAGTTTTTAGACCTTCAATAACAGATAAGTTACTATGAATTTTAGTAACATTAGTAACTTTACAAAAGTACACTTTCTTGAAATATAGTGTCAATTTTGATCAGCAGACTATAATCCTTAACAAAATAGGAATTTAAAAATCCATTTTGCCATAAAGATATTAAAAAAATCCAAGACTGTAAACAAATACCAAAAAGAGATTTTCTAATATCCTAAATAATTCAAGTACTTAAAATTTTCATGTAAAAAAACACAGAGTGTAAAAAATATTTCCTATATGCCAGTCCTTCCCTTTTTCAGGTGAAGTGGAGACTAGATAAAGTAAACTCTAAATTAGCATCCATACTAAACTGAAATAAAAAAGTAAACTTCTTTTGGATCTGATATTAGCGTGATTTAGACTGTGGAAAAAGGCCATGAAAAGAAACAAGTCCAAATGCTTTAATATGTGCCAGAGCAGTGATTGCCATTTTTTGGGATGCAATGTTTTTTCAAAGATTTCTTCTTTTCACTGAAAAGTTGTTCTAAAACAGGAAAAAAGATTAAATCACTTTCATAAATCCATTCTCAAATCACTGAGAACTCAGCTGAAGTGATCTAAGTTCTCTGGATCCATACTCCAGTTATACAGACAGATTTACACAAGGGAATAGTTAACAAAGCTATTACTGAATTGGCTCCAAAGTCTGATCTTTTTTATTACTAAAAACGCAGTATTTTTACTCCAATGTAACTTCTGCCATTTAAACTGATGTGTGACAACCAAAGGGTGAAACAACCCAGGCATACTCAGAGCTAGTTGAAAAATAACATTTCTAGTCCATTGGACATTATGACAGTGAAAAGTTTTAACTCTGTGAAGAAAGTCTAAATTCACCACACAATATAAATACTATCTCCTTCCTACAATGTTTTGAGAATCTGAGTAGTACAATAGAGTAAATAAAATACGTAAATAAACTGCGATGTTAAAAGAAGATGCATCCAGCAGTGAAACTGAAATATTTTGCTATTATTAAACAGAACAAGGAAGTCAGGATGATTTCTTTTTCTAATTTCTTATTCCTTGCCTGGTGTTTGAGAGAAACCTTTCTGTATTAACATGGCTACGTTTTTTTCCAACAGAAAACTCTTCAGCTGAAATTTTTTTAGCCCACACTATCTGTAAACGTGAACATGCAAAAGCTGGGAGACACACACAGAGACATATACCACGGCACCCCCACGTGAGCCCTCATACAGTACATGTGGTTTCCATCTATTTTGGCAATAGCAGCAGAAGCCTCTGGAAACCCAGCCTAGTCAGATTCAATGTTACAAATCAGCAGCACTGAAAAGCAAAGTCACAATAGCACTTGCTGATCCTAGAATAAAAAATGGCAAAATAGGAATGTTTATGTCTACTTTTTTCTTCAAAAGAGAGATAGACATAAATTCAGTGCACAGGGATGTTGTGTTAACAAGAAGGGAGCAGCAGCTATGATGCCCGATGGATGTTTTTAAGAATGCTGTTTTGGCAAGAAAAATAGCACGGTGCTTCCCCCCCCCCCCCTTATTCCCTGTAGCTTTGTGTAATCACTGCAAATTTTTATTTTTGGTATTAACTTGTACAGAGCATCATAGAAAACACAACTGGAAGGGCCTGTAAGAGGTCATGTGGCCCAACCCCTACCCCAAGGCAGGACCTGCTCTTGCTCTGTTAGTCCTGAAAGATGTCTCATCTGTTCTTAAGCACAGTCTGTGAAGGGCAAGGGGTCACTATTGTCGTCTGTCTGCTGCAGGGCTCCAAAATCTTCACCGTCAAGTTTTTCCAAATGTCTAATCTGAATCTTCCTTGTTGCAATTAAACAGATTACTGCTTCGCCATGGCTATGGGGAGGAGATTAGTATCTTTTCTTCCGCATAAGCCTCATATGCTTGCAAATCTGGGGTGAGTAAAATTGCGTAGCTTTCTCTGTAATTATTACATCCTGAGAATTCTAACGAGACATTAGTCGGAGGTTTAGGAATTGCATCAACAGCAGCTTGGAAATAATACTAATACTTACTGAGGGGAATAGCCTGCCCTTTGGTTCTCCGTGAACCAGCTGGACATAACCTAACTTGGACCAGAAAGTCTGCATGAACGCAGATCAGGTGTGAAAGATGGTTACTTACAGACTTGTTGAACAACTATAGACCTTCATGACACACAGTACCCTAAATTCGCCCTGTGATGAAAATTATAGACTATCCACAACTTAATAGTGAATATAATACCATTTTTTTTGCGATCGGGCAGACATCACTAGGATACATTGAGGAGCTATCAGCTACTTCTGCAGTACACCACAGTAGGCTACACAAAAACCACAGGCAACGTGGTGAGAAATTACTGCCCTGATTAAAACTCTAGGCCCTCAATTAGCCAGTATGAATGCCAGCATGATTTAAAGTGCCTGCTGCACCCACCAGATGCCTTCATTTCAGTAAGGGACTTCACTATCCCCCAAATGGACTGCCCTGCCCAGCTTGCTTGCTGGAAACAAGTGGTTGTGTGTGTCACACTTAAACATCAAATTTACTCTCTGCGGAAACGGGTGACTATACCCAGTCTACTCAAAGCTGTGCTTTGGTCTCAGTAAGCAGACAGCGCTAACTCACAAGGAGGAGAACACATGCCCTCCCGATCAAACAGTTTCTCACTTTCCTGTGTACCCTCGCTGTGCTTCTGTGTCCTCTTGGCAGGACCTAAAAAGACACGCAGCAGATGCACCAGTGCACAACTAAATATTACAGATGTGCGCTAACGCTTTGGGAACGTGCCCACTACCAAAGCCCTGCCAACTCACAGATTACTGTAAGAATACCTTAAATCTGGCAGCAGCACCATTCCACCTGCAGTCTTTGTTAGGGATCGGCGTTTCTAGCCCTGTCTCCACTTGAGGACACAAGATGCAGTGAAGCAGCACCTGCTGCTCTTGTGCCTCTGACGGGCATCTGCAAAGGCTGGAGAATAGACACAGGTGCTCAGAGTCCTCCTGCACGCTGGCCCAGCCAAATGTGCACTGACAGAAATGTGAAGTTATCTCAGAACACAGATGTTTGGCTTTGCTGCCACTGCCTGACACCGGCACTTTATTTTCTTTATCATGTGTGTTGAATTGAAAGAGGTTTTTTTAGGCCCTGACCTTGGCAGAACTTGCTACTGCATTTCATCATAAAGATAGGAGAAAAGAAGGGGGGGGGCGGGGGGGAGAGAGAAAAAGAAGAGAGGCTTCCTGGATTTTTGTGATGCCCTTTGTAATCCTGAATACTTCAGCTGAGGGCCCTCTAATGCTTTCACTCATCATTCTAATTCTACGCCTTCCATTCCTTCACAGCACATTTTTACTCAACCTTAGCTTGTCTTTCATGTGGTTTAAAAATGCATGTATTTTTTCAGTTGACAGAGATGACTGGAAAACATCTGTGTTAACTCTACATCGATCTTTTCTGAAATAAATTGTGTCTTAAGCTGCATTTCTGCTACATTTCATTTGGCATATCAGTTTGTAGTTCAGCTCATTTGGGGATGAAGTTGCCTGTAAGACCCATACATGATCTCTCAGGTTCTACTAATTTATATCATCACAACCTTCCTTAGTCAATATAATTGAGGATTCTGTAAAATATTTTGCTAATACGGCTGTTAGAAACAGGCTTTGATGACTTAACGACTGCAACATAGGGTAAAGCAATTCACTGAAAAGATTTTTTTTCAGAGACTGGAAAAAATTATATGTCCTACTGTTCTGCTGATACCTCTCACTGTTGTGCTCGCACCTGTACTCCACACGTTGCTGGTGGTCTCTGTGTTTTTAGCTCATTCCTACAGGAATGACATTTGCCCCCACATCCCACGTCTCTTTTCTCAGCTTCCTCTGTGTGGGTCCACCTGTGTGAAAGCCTGCCATGCCACCCATGAGATCCTTTTTGCATAATTGCCACGTGCCACACAACCTTTTAAAACTTCAAAAAAATACCCACCTAGCCTTTTTTGGGGGGTAAAAGACCATGCAGACATGCTTTTACTTAAAAAAAAAAGAACAAAGAAAATACTGAGCAGTGACAAGTTTCTTGTCAGTATTTGCGGCAGAACAATGTCAATCTAATGATCAAATGGGATGAAAATCTAGTTTTTGATGCAAATGTACAAAACTGTGGCTGAGTTAACAGCTTTCTTGACAAGAGTGAAATGTTGTCTCGCTATTATTTCAATATATAAAACTGAAATCCAAATAGTGAATTTAAAATTATTCAGACCCAATGTTTAGAAGAAGTTGGACAGAGGAAGACAGCATGAGAAATGCAAAGTATCTTACTGTGCTTTTTTTGTTATCAAGGGTCACATCTTTGCAGTTATTTCATCAGTCTCCAGAAACATTTCAAGTGGTACCGTATAACTCAATAAAACTATAAGGCATCTGACTTCATTTTATGTACTTACTCAAAAAATGTAGTCCACCCAGTCTCATCGCTTTTGGTTGCCAGAAGCCCACTGTTGCCATGGTAGGTAAACAGAACAAGCTCCTGACCTTGCGCGGTCATGCTTTTCAAACATCCATTAGTGCCGATCGTCAGCCAGATGACTTGGTTATCAGGAGAGACCACCCTTACCGGCATCCGGTTGGGATCCCGCCTGATACGAAGCGTATTCCCGTTGCTATCCGTTACTGCGGTTATATCATTATCGTTACTGTAGCTAAAATTGTACAGGTAGTCTCCGGTGACTAAGCTCACAGTGTACTGGTGAGTACCATTGACATCAAAGATATAAAGCTCTTGGTCAGTTGGAGAAGCAATTTCATAAAAGTTCATTGAATTCAGTAAGGGTTTGTTCTTTGACACAGCCCGTATCCTAATATTTCCCAGATCGGCAATATACAGGGTGCCATCCGGAGACACAGCTAAGGAAGAAGGGGCATTGAGTTTGGCGTCTTTAGCATAGCCATCTCCATTTTGGTAACAGTCACAGTTGACATCATTTTTGCAATCACACTCTGAGGGTATTCCAGCAACTAATGAGATCTCTCCATCGGTTGTGACCTGTCTTATCCTATTAATCTTTTTTTCATCAGTTTCTGTAATGTAAAGCACCCCACTGTAGGACACGGCAATGGCAGTCGCTGACTCCAGTGTGGTCTGGACGGCGTGCTTCCCTACCGTGTACTCCACCCCAGGGACCTGGCAATGCATCGGCCTCCCTGCAGCAATGCGAACCTGACGGTTTTCGGTGATCTGCAAAACGACGTTGTTATCCAAAACATAAATGGAGTTGTCCATTGGGTTGATAGCTAAGTCTGTAGGCCATTCTAGACGAACCTGGACAAACAGAAGTGACAGACATCTGTGTTACTGAAAAAAAGTCCATTGTGTTGGAACTGTTATACAAGTTGAATTACCCCTCCAATAAACAGTATGCTTTTCTGTATCTAAAATGCATAAATAAAAATAGAGACATCTCCTACATATGTCCTACATACGTCAAGGACCCTACTCTTATTTTATTTTTGTAATAGCAAAAATAACTTACTACCTTTCAGATTACAAAACAACGGACTATTCTCTAAATGTACCGCTAGCATTGTCCCTTCTTACCTAAATAAGCTTCTTGAGACAAATAGAAAAAATATGGGTTTTTTTGTATATATCCTCTCATTCACTCTAGTAGGCTAATGATTCAGAAAACATCAGCATGCCAAGATAGTTCTAACAGATCTGCCATTCTCCCAGTATTTACTACC